CACACACAAATAAATCTAGCCACAAAGCTCAAAGACTCTGTGTGTGTGTGTCTGTCTGTCCGTCTGTCTGTCTGTCTGCCTGCCTGTCTGCTTTTGTGTCTGTGTGTTTGTCTATTTCTCTGTGCCTGTATACCTGTGTATGTGTGTGTGTTTCTGTGTGTGTGTGAATATGTATGTTTGTGTCTCTATATGTCTACACATCTGTGTGTGTGTCTGTCTATGCATGAGTGTCTGTGTGTGGCCCTGGGTTTGTGCAAGTGTGTGTGCAAGTGTATGTACATGTGGAGTAAGAAATGAACTCCCAGTGTTGTTCTTCAAGATCTGTCCACCTTGTTTTTGAGACGTCTCCCACTGGCCGAGTGCTTACTGGGTAAGCTGTACTGGCTGGCCAGCAAGTTCCAAGGAGTGACCTTTTTCTGCCTCCTCAGCACTGGGGATTAAAGCCCAGATTTTTTTAAGAGTTCTGGGAATTGAAGTCAGGTCCTCATACTCTTTTGGCAAGCCCTTCACTGACTGAGCAAAGGATACCTGCTCCTAAAACTGTAAAAGTGACCACCCCCATCCTGCTCTGTTCCGTGTTCTCCCATCATCACCAGGTGCCCTCTTCTTGCATTCTTTTATCCTCACTGTACACATATGCCCTTGTTTTAATTGTTCTAAGCACATGGAAATGTGCACGGTTTAAGTGCAGCGATTATAGATGGGACCATAAGAGTTAGAAACCAAGACCACACTCTGGGGTCAGACAAACTTTGGGTCACATTGCTGTTGTCCCACTTTCTAATTTAGTAACCTTGAGCAAACTGTTCTGTCACTTGGAACCTTGGCTTCCCTGTGCAAATAAAAGGAGAACAGCAATTCCCATATCATGGAATTACTCAGAGAAGTAGACAAGGCAATGCATGCCAGGCACAGGCTTGTCATCTTAAACTCTCAAACTCACCAGCTGCCTTCTTACTACCCTTCTCAGACTCAGAGTGCCAAGCCTGAGCAGGCTTCATTCATTGGCAGCCTCAGCAGATGTCTAATCACTACCTACCATGCTTTCCACCCTCAGCAGCATGCCCCCAAGTTAAAGCTGCACAAGGCACTGTCTCCACCCTGGGAATTCTGTCTTATTTATTTTTTAGTAGTTAATATAAAAGTTATTATGTAAATAAATTTAATGCATTAGGAAGCTGTTTGAGGATAAATCTAAGAAAAAAACACAGTCTCTGAAAGCCTTTTTCCTCTGACTAGAAAACCACAAGTGCTTTCACTATGTAACTACTTGATAATTTCTTATATTCTTTATAGAAGATCTGATATGTATGTTTTAAAATTTACATTACTCATCAATTGTATCTTTAAAATAATTCTAGAACTCTGTATAAAACATGCATATATAGTTTAAGAGCTGCTTTTAATCACACAAAAGAAAGATAATTTATAAAAATAAGTCCCTAATTAGTCTATGTCTCACTTCTATGTGTCTCCAGCACTCTACCCAATGCCCAGCACACAGCTCATCAAAAGATGTTTGCGGAGTTGAATAAAGTTTTAAAATGTAGCTATGTGCACTACCCATGTTCACATGGCTTAGGGGGAGGTGTAATGATAGTAAGAAAGCATGACAGAGAAGCATAAGATTGTGATGTTTTCTTAACTCTTAAAAAAACAAAGAACCTGTATTTATATGTGACCTGAGTGTTGCAACTTTAAAACTCTCATAGTTTTCACTCGTACCTCTAGGACTGAATAAAAAAATCCCTCTTTGGTGGATGAGCAAACTTGGTAGAGGGACTGCTACCAGGTCACAAGAGTGATGGAAGGGTGCACAGCAGCCTGTCCCACTGCAGGGCCATGCCTGGAGCTTGGCACCCAAGGGAAATCAACAACCTGATAACCGCTACATCTAATCTAAGAGGAGGGCAGCTTCTGACTAGTGTGTGAAAGCCAGCATGTGTGTCAAAAAGGGCTCCAATTGCACACTGCACTGGAATAGCAACGGGAAAGGAAAAAATACAATTGAACAAGCCCCTGGAGGCCCAGAAACACAAGTGACCTCCCCTACAGTCCTGCATCAACAGCCTGACTTTAATTTACAAACACAGATAGAAAGTTTGAGTGTCTAGTTTTGCTTTTACTAGAGGAAAAAAATAGCTATCAGATCCTACCTTTGACACCACTAAACAGCCTCAAGGATGAAGTCCAAAAGTGAAAATATAGCCACCTAAATCCCTGGCATGAGCACTTGGGCAGAAGCTAGTTATGCAGACTGGGCTCTGAGGTTTACCAACAAGGCAGGGTGGCCCTACAAAAATGGCATCACGTGTGGGTAAGAGGTGAAAGACACTTAAGCATGGATGCATTCTAAAACAGAAAAGCTAATTAAACTTAGCCTCTTCAGAAAGCAAAGTTAGAAAAGCTAGCAGGAAAAATACATTCTCTTCCTTCCAAACATAATCAAAAAGAATAAAGGGTTCGTCGGGTTAAAACATTAGTCATCTGGTTTTGTTTGTTTTGTTCCCATGAATATTCATAAGTCAACAAAACACCCCTCTGCATTTTACCAACTGCCTTCTCACTTCCACATATACATACGAGGCACTGTCCAGTGTATTACAGGTTAGGGAGGAATCAGGATCAAGACTAAGAAAGCTGGGGCTGAAGAGATGGCTCTATGAGTACCTGCTGTACAAACATGAGGACAAGAGTTCAGATACCAGCATCCACATAAAAAGCTGGCCACACGCACATGAAAGCTCACACTTGCTCGCACGCACACACACACACATACACACACACTCATACTCAAGCACCTACGACCT